TGTGTGTGTGTGTGTGTGTGTGTGTGTGTGTGTGTGTGTGTGTGTTTTGGAAGGGGGGATTCTAAAGCAAATACGCTGAAATGGAAACATTTGTTAAAACTAGTAGTGGTTTTTATATTATTTTTCTGTACACTCTTGAACGCCTGAAATATTTTTTAAAAGTAGGCTTTCATTTTAAATGTTGGACAAGAATATTTAATGTTATCAAGATTGTTCATGATGTGATTAAAGAATACAGGTTAAGGACTTCCCTTGTGGTCCACTGGCTAAGACTCTGCACCCCCAATGCAGGGGGCCCAAGTTCAATCCCTGGTCAGGGAACTAGATCCCACATGTCACAACTAAGACCCGGTGCAGCCAAATAAATAAATAAAATATTAAAAACAAAAAAGAATACAGGTTAAAAACAGTATGCGCAGTAGTATAGCATAACGGTCAGAATAGCCTAAGAGTCAGTATAGCATAATAGTTACATGTACTCTGGAGCCAGACTACTTGGTTTTAATCTTAATTATGTCACTTATTAGCAATGACACATTGAGTAAGTTACTTAACTTCTCTGCACCTCAGTTTCCTTATCTGTAAAATAAAAATGATAAGAATAGTACCTGGCTCATAAAGATATTACAAGGATTAAGTAAATATATGTAAGGGTCCTGGTGTACAGTAGATGCTCAGTAAGTGGTAACAGCTGTTATGATAAGGCTGAGGCTGAGGATGATACAATTTTGGTTTCTTAAAAAAGGATACTACACCCCCCACTTTTTGTTTTAGAAAAAAGAACTTGAACAGTCCATCAAAAATGTTAACAACTGTAACCTCTAATTGATAACAGACTTATTTTAATTTTCTTCTTTTTTACTTATAGACATTCTACGTCAAGTAATTCTTTTTGTACTTAAAACAACAGAAACACAGAAACAAAATCTTGGCTTTAAGCCCTTCCCCAAAAGTGCCCTACAGCCTGGTAAGCAGTGATTTTCAAAGTGTGATCTTTGGACCAGTAGCATCAGCAGAACCAGACAACTTGCTAGAAATGCAAATTCTCAAGGTCCACCCCAGATGTACTCATTCTGGAGTGGAGCCCAGCAATCTGTTTTAGCTTTATATTCGATTCTGATGCTCACTAAAGTTTGAGAACTACTGTGCTAAGGCATGACGTGTAGCTCTGTACTTGACCTCTCTCACCTTTATATAGTGATAAATACTGCCAATCATTCTTCCTCAAATACTCTGCAACTCTTGTTCGCAGTGTCCTCTTTCCACCCTTGGACATACCTTCTTCGTGAGCCTTTTGAGAGCTATTGCTCCTATCCTCAGTTACTGCCTGGCAATAGAAAATGCAAATGCCTTCTGGAGCCAGGCAGGTAATTTGTCTCAAGGGGGCCTGGTGTACGACCTTAAAGAGTGAAGTGCTGGCCACTGCCCAAAGATGTTCACAATTTTTTGAAAAGTTAAACTGCTGCTGGCCAAACAAAACCACACCTAAGCCAAGTTTGGCTACTGGCCACCATTTACACTCACTTCTTGGCTAATTCTCTCTCAAATCACTAAGCAGCTATGATGTAGTGGCAAGAGTGAGTGCTGAACATGGAAGAAAACCTTGATTTGAAGCCCAGCTCTGCTACTTGCTAGCAGGGTGGTAATAATGATAATAATGTTAATCTCTCAGAGTTAAATTTTCTCATCTGTATAATAAGGACAATACTACCTATCTCACAGGATTGTTTTAAAGATTAAGATAATATACTTAAAACACCTGCCATATAATAAGTCCTCAATAAATTTTTCATAGCTTTTGTGGTATTTAGTTTCTTGTATTGTTTTGATTATATGCTTTATTCTACTTATACTTATGAACAACTTAGTTTAGCCTATTTATTCTATTAGACTCTAGGCTCCTTTGGGACAGGGATGGCCTTCTGCATCCCTTTAAGTTCCTACAATACCTACTTCAGTAATTAAGTCCCTCTCACATCCACCTCAAGCTTCAACAAAAGCCTGTGATTGTCTGGGGTAGGGATCTGGAGTGACAGAGTCAAGTCTCAGTAGAGATGTACATTTCATATGAGAAAGTAAGTGGCTTGCTTCTAACAATCCCCAAAGTTATGCTTCCCTTCTTTTTCCAACATAAAAGAGAAAAAACGATGATGGTTACTCTGTTAAGTGGAGGCCTTTTGCTTTTCACAGTTACCACGTTTGTTAAAAGCAATACAGGATGTTCAGAAGTGCCATACTAGAAATTATGAAGAAAACGGGTTTCAGTTTTAACTTAATTTTGACAATTCAGATACAAGTGATGCTGTGTAGGTATCAGAAGAGCTAACATTAGGTGCCCAGCTCATTCTTCCCACCTGGAATAGTGAGGCAAGAACAAGAGCTATTATTTATCCCACAAAGAAGGTTATTAGGCAATAAATATCATGGGATTTGGGGAAGAGGAAGGAAGCATATGTATCTCACATAAGCAGGTTAGAGGCTTTCTGCACTCCTATGGTTTTATAAGAAACAATGTCATATTTTGTCCTAACAAAATTTTCTTTTTCTTACTTTATAGGTACCCAGGCCTAAGTGCCTGTAAAGAATTAATTTCACATATTGAATTTGGTTAATATCATTTTAACATATAATAATATGGTTAACATATTATTTATGTTAGCTTTCTTACCTTCTGAACTTTGTATCTACAGACTCATTAAATAAATGACTTTCAGGTTAAATGATCTACTTTCAGAACTGTTTGAAAACTTACCTCCTCTACCTCCCCCCATTAACTATGCTTTGTACCAGGGTATTTCTATATTTTTCCGTCAAAAGTATAATCCTTAAAAGTAGGACAACTGTAGTAACAAATGGGTTTAGGTATCAAATTTAGTTTGGGAAGAATGTTTCTAACTAATCTAGGTTCCATATGGGTAAAGGAACACTGGACCAGTCAAATGGATTGTGCTTGAGAAGCCAGGGAAAGGCTACCCATTTCTTTAGTAGGGTAGGAAGTAGTTATTCTGTGAAGGCACAATTCAGAATGAAATATTCAGACACAATTTTAAAAATCGATTTCACTGTTCGCATGTATCATCAATAAGGAAAATTTTGCTTGGTGGTATTGACATGAAAGTACATGACAGTGTTAGAACTGCACACTTGCTGTTATCTTTCCTGTGCTCTGAGGCTTTCATCATGAGAAAAATACAATTTCACTGCAGGTTTAAATTCTCAGTCACAGTAGAAAATAATTTCCACTTAAAGGGCATATCTAATTTCTCAACTTATAAAGAATTAAAAATCAGTTCCAAGACCACTTGTGTAGTTTACCACCAAACTACTGTCAGAATAGAAATAAATAAAATTTCCTGCATGAATTAATTCTTTAAGAAAACTTTATTGAAAATTATTCCCTTCAAGATAAATAACATTACCTATCTTGTACAGAGCTAACATTATTTTTGCAGGGGCCAGGTAGAATTGGGCAAGAAAATAATTAACATTTAAAGGATTTCCCGGGACTTCTGTGGTGGTCCAGTGGCTGGGACTGCACTCTTCCACTGCAGAGGGTGTGGGTTTGATCCCCGGTCGGGGAACTAGGATCCCGCATGCCCCACTGCGCGGCCAAAAAACTTAACTTGCTGGTTCACATTATGTAAATGTTGTTGTTGTTATTATTCATGTGATGACTGGTGTGTGAATAGCAAGTGTGGTGCTTGCAGGGAAAGAAAAATAAACCTTTAAAAAAAATAAAGGATTTCTCTTTGAAACATATTGCTTTAGAAGAAAATTGTAGACAATAATTAGGTGAAAGGCAGTACTAATACCTTTTAGGAATGTCTAGTCTACAGACGATTCATTTCAAAGTATCAAATTCTATTTACTCAAAAAACTTAACAAAGTAAACAGTAGACTTGGCAGCTACAGAAAACTGGAATGGCCTCATGGACTGCACTGATGTATCTATTTTGTGCCAAATGTTTCAGAAATTTTGAGGCAGTTCACTTATCTAAGGTTTCAGAAAGCAAGAGTTTCCAGAATTATAAGTGAAAGGAGCTGACTGTACAATATTAAAATAATACTAGCTTTCAATTAACATATGAATGTGTTTTGCGTGAAGAGGCAGTTGCCTAGCACACAAGAAATAAAATAAAGTTCTGTGGCCTCCTTAACGGTAAACATCCTTACAGCCCCTTGAGTCACTACGGGGAGATCCTGAGGCCTAACAAAAGGTCTGTGCTTAACAGCTCCTTTTTTCTCTTGTAGGAAGTAGTATAAAAAGCACTCCGGGGCTGCCCTGGTGGCCGAGGCTTCCCTGGTGACACAGTGGTTGAAAATCTGCCTGCTAATGCAGGGGACAAGGGTTCGAGCCCTGGTCTGGGAGGATCCCACATGCCCCGGAGCAACTAGGCCCGTGAGCCACAACTACTGAGCCTGCGCGTCTGGAGCAGGTGCTCCGCAACAAGAGAGGCCGCGACAGTGAGAGGCCCGCGCGCTGCGATGAAGTAGTGGCTCCCGCTTGCCACAACTAGAGAAAGCCCTCGCACAGAAACGAAGACCCAACACAGCAAAAATAAATTAATTAATTAATAAACTCCTACCCCCAACATCTTCTTAAAAAAAAAAAAAAGCACTCTGTGTCTGAGAGATCCTGGTGATTTGACCTTGGACAAATAACTTAATTACTTCTAGTTTGTTTCCATAACTGTAAATGGAGCCAACAATACCTGGTAAAGATATTACAGTTGTGAGGATGAGATGATATATGTGATCATGTTTTGTAAACTATAAAGCAAGAGTAACCAGAAATTAGTTACTATTTTATATAATACTGTCCTAACATTTCCTGCCTATGTCCCTGTCTGCAAAACGGGTACAGATCTAGGTCCAAAAGCCTGTGAACTTGAGCAAGTCATTTCCTTTCTGGACGTGTGTTTCCTAGCAAGGTTATTATTACATTATGAAGATCAAATGATATCGTGTATGTAAATGCTGTGACAGGCATATATCAAGAACGCAATAAATGATAGCTGTTATTACTCTCTGAGGGTAGGATTGTAAGGATCAAACAATATTATATCTACTTAAAAGGCTTTGAATATATATTTAAATTCTGTACACATCCAAGGTATTGTTATTTGTACTGTAAACTGCAAAGACGTACATGGAACGAGGAAACAAATGGCGCCACAATGACTACCAGTAGGGGGGTAGGAAAGGCAGAAAGGGGGCTCAGGAGCCTCGGCGGCTTGTAATAGCGGTGGGAATGAGAAGAGAGGAGTGTGACAGAAGAAAAAAAAAGAAAAAACTTAAAAAAATACTCTGAGAATCAATTCACTATTCTCCCCCTTTTTCTCTTATGACCTCCAGCCTAGATTAGACCATTTCATTCAACTTCCCATCCCGCCATGTCGCTGGACATTTATTTACTGTACCTTCTTCACTGAGAGCCTTTCATTCCCCTCCCCTTCTAGGAGTCGTGAACTTCAGAACCTCTGCCTCCGACAACCATTCCCTTTAACTCTGATATTAACCAAGCTTCCCTATATTCTTCCCTCCGCCTAAGGGGGAAGTAAGTCTGGTCGCACCGCAGGGCATCCTAGGAAATGTGGTCTCTCATACTCATTTTGCTTGGGCCCCAGAGTGGGGAAGACGACAGAAGGCATACAGTTAAAACTACAACTCCCGGCAGGCAAAGTGAGCGACTCTCCGCCTTTCTGCCCCCATTTCGAGTGCCTTCCTCTTCCTCCTCTCCGCAGGCGCCGAACCTCTTGGCCTCACGGTATTTGTAGTTCTTTATGGACCCAGGATCCTAGCACTTGATGGCCAGGAGAGAGGCTAGAAAACTCTAATTCCCAGAGGGCAGAGCGAAAGGTGCGCCTGCGCAGTCTCAGTGAGGGCGTGTATGTCTGTGTGTCTGAGGGAGAGAGAGCGAGAGCGAGTGAGTGTGAGTGCGGGCTAGGGTGGTGGCCGTTACGTTCGGGGCAACGGCTACGGTAGTGGAGAAGCAAGAAGAGAAACAACGTCCGGCGCTTCCGCCTTCGCTTAGGAGGAGGAGGAGCTGGTAGGGAAAGGAAAGTGATTCGCCCTGGGCCTGGACTAGACCGAGTCGGGCCGGCGGGGGTCTGGCTATGAGCCTTTGAGGGTCGCTTGGGACGCGGAGCGAGACTCGGGAGCCGAGAGCTATGTCTCAGCCGCCGCCGCCGCCTCCGCTGCCGCCGCCGCCTCCTCCCCCAGAGGCTCCGCAGACTCCGCCGTCCCTGGCGGCGACGGCGGCGGCTGCTCCGGGAGTGCTCTCGAAGCGGAGAGACCGGAGAATCCTCTCCGGGAGCTGCCCGGATCCGAAGTGCCAGGCGCGTCTGTTCTTCCCGGCCTCCGGTTCTGTCAGCATCGAGTGTACCGAGTGCGGACAGCGGCACGAGCAGCAACAGCTGCTGGGGGTGGAGGAGGTGACCGACCCGGACGTAGTGCTGCACAACCTGCTGCGGAACGCGCTGCTCGGGGTGACAGGGGCACCCAAGAAGAACACGGAATTGGTAAAGGTGATGGGCCTTTCCAACTACCACTGCAAGTTGCTGTCGCCCATCTTAGCTCGCTACGGAATGGACAAGCAGACAGGCCGGGCTAAGCTTCTCCGGGACATGAACCAGGGCGAGCTGTTCGATTGCGCTTTACTGGGGGACCGCGCCTTCCTCATCGAACCAGAGCATGTGAACACGGTGGGCTATGGCAAGGACCGCTCCGGAAGCCTCCTGTATTTGCATGACACACTTGAGGACATCAAGCGGGCCAATAAGAGTCAGGAATGCCTCATTCCAGTGCATGTGGACGGGGATGGACACTGCCTGGTGCATGCTGTGTCCCGGGCTCTAGTAGGCCGGGAGCTCTTCTGGCATGCCTTGAGAGAGAATCTTAAACAGCACTTTCAGCAGCACCTGGCCCGATATCAAGCCCTGTTCCATGACTTCATTGATGCCGCTGAGTGGGAGGACATTATCAATGAGTGTGACCCTCTGTTTGTACCACCTGAGGGTGTTCCCTTGGGCCTGAGGAACATCCACATATTTGGCCTTGCCAATGTGCTGCATCGCCCGATTATTCTGTTAGATTCACTCAGTGGCATGCGAAGCTCTGGTGATTATTCAGCCACCTTTCTGCCAGGCCTTATCCCTGCAGAGAAGTGCACTGGGAGAGATGGTCATTTGAACAAACCCATCTGTATTGCCTGGAGTAGCTCTGGTAGAAACCATTATATCCCCTTGGTAGGCATAAAAGGGGCTGCTTTGCCCAAACTGCCTATGAATTTGCTTCCTAAAGCATGGGGTGTGCCTCAGGACCTCATTAAGAAGTACATCAAACTTGAGGAGGACGGTGGTTGTGTTATTGGAGGAGACAGAAGTTTGCAGGATAAATACTTACTTAGGCTTGTTGCTGCTATGGAAGAAGTCTTTATGGACATACATGGTATCCATCCTAGTTTGGTGGCTGATGTCCATCAGTATTTCTACAGGAGGACAGGGGTGATAGGAGTTCAGCCTGAAGAAGTCACAGCAGCTGCTAAAAAAGCAGTAATGGATAATCGCCTTCACAAATGTTTGCTCTGTGGTGCCCTTTCTGAACTTCATGTTCCTCCAGAGTGGTTGGCTCCGGGAGGGAAACTGTATAACCTGGCAAAAAGTACTCATGGACAGCTGAGGCCTGACAAAAATTATAGCTTTCCCTTGAACAATTTGGTTTGCTCATATGATTCAGTGAAAGATGTTCTGGTACCAGACTACGGATTGAGTAACCTGACAGCTTGTAATTGGTGCCATGGCACATCTGTGCGAAGAGTCAGAGGAGATGGGTCTATTGTGTATTTGGATGGGGACAGAACTAATGCTAGGTCCACTGGTGGCAAATGTGGTTGTGGATTCAAACATTTTTGGGATGGTAAAGAGTATGACAATCTACCAGAAGCTTTTCCTATTACTTTGGAATGGGGTGGAAGAGTGGTCAGAGAAACAGTATATTGGTTCCAGTATGAAAGTGATGCATCTTTGAATAGTAATGTTTACGATGTTGCCATGAAACTTGTTACCAAGCACTTTCCAGGTGAATTTGGGAGTGAAATCCTGGTTCAGAAAGTTGTCCACACTATATTGCATCAGACTGCCAAAAAGAATCCTGATGATTATACTCCTGTAAATATAGATGGTGCTCATGCCCAAAGAGTTGGAGACGTACAAGGACAAGAGTCGGAGTCCCAGCTCCCAACTAAAATTATTCTTACCGGACAGAAAACAAAAACTTTGCACAAGGAGGAGTTAAATATGAGTAAGACTGAAAGAACTATTCAACAGAATATTACGGAACAGGCTTCTGTAATGCAGAAACGAAAAACAGAGAAGTTAAAACAAGAACAAAAGGGGCAGCCCAGGACTGTTTCTCCCAGTACCGTTCGTGATGGTCCTTCCTCTGCACCTGCCACCCCTACCAAGGCTCCCTATTCACCAACCACTTCTAAGGAGAAGAAGATCCGAATAACAACTAATGATGGACGACAGTCCATGGTTACACTTAAGTCTTCAACAACGTTTTTTGAACTTCAGGAAAGCATAGCCAGAGAATTCAACATTCCTCCATATTTACAGTGTATTCGATATGGCTTTCCTCCTAAAGAGTTAATGCCACCCCAGGCAGGAATGGAAAAGGAGCCAGTTCCTTTACAACATGGTGACAGAATTACAATAGAGATTCTAAAAAGTAAAGCCGAAGGGAGTCAGTCTGCAGCAACACACTCGGCCCACACTGTGAAACAAGAAGAGAGTGCTGTCACTGGTAAACTGTCATCTAAGGAACTTCAGGAGCAAGCTGACAAAGAAATGTACTCCTTGTGTCTTTTAGCAACGTTAATGGGTAAGATCAATTTAACTCAGACAGTATTTCTTAATTGTGAATGTAATATGCTGAGTTTTTCTGATGTCTTCATGGAAAAAAATGGTCATCCTAAAAACTTTCTGATTATATATTTTAGAAGAAAATTATTTTCTTTAGTTTTTTGACAGTTAGTGGATAGATGTTAGTGTGATTTTCTATTGAGTAAATATTAGGAAAACGTAACTAAGAAAGTGAAAGTAGTCCCTAATTGTCACCAGATTATTTAAATATAACGTATTCTTGTAATTGTTTTTTTAAAAATAGGCTTGTAATGGATCCATTTAAAGGCTTTTTCATTTTTTCCCCCTTGGCTCTATTGAGCCTGCCCACCTTGTCCCTTTTCATTTATTTTTAAATTTCATTTTCCTGCGTGTCATGTGATTTCAGGACTTCCTGTTTGATGAATTGCAGTTTCTGGGTTTATATGCTCACTGTACTCCCACCTAATGGTCTCTCTCATCCATTTCCTGTTCTCCCTTTCCCAGTTCATCACATTTTTCTTATTTGTACATTAGGATTTGTGTTTAAGTAATTTCCTTGCTCAGTGACTCTTTGCCATGAATTGTAATGAACTATTATAACTGAGGAGAAACATAAGGAACCGAGGTAGATATTAACGGTGTTGCTTAAGAAGCATTTCTTTTTAATAATTCAACACAAATTAAAGGAAAATAGATTATCAATCAAATATATGATTTAAAGCTTTAGATGATTTGGGAAATAATCCAATGGTGTACTTTTTACATTATTTTTATTGACTAATCTTTGTGTTTAAATTACTGTTAATATGCTTTATTAAGGCTTGAAATAGAAGTAAAATTGAAATACATTACATATTAGAGGGGCCTTATTTTTGCTGAAATGAGAGCTTTCAACTGGAAAAGTGATCTGGGTTTTGATTGTGTTTTCTAAGAGTACTAAATATCAGTGAACTGGTCCTTGACCTTCCAAAACGAAGATTATTTATTTCTGGCTTGTTAAGTTTAGGGGCCTAGTAGTTAATAGGGGATCTAAAAGCCCTATACAAATTTATAACTTAATATTGCTGACTTTATTTTGGCAGACATAGTCATTGAATTGGGGGCTATGTCAAGAAATGTACTAGCTAGGCACTTTGCATTTTTTCTCTCTCTTAAGAGTTTTTAGTTTCTTAGAGACTGCGTGGAATAAAGGAAAAGATTGTGAATTTTGGAGTGAAAAAGACCTAGAATTTGAATTCCAGCTCCACTACTTGTTAATTTAGTGATTTCAGGCAAGCTGCTTAACTCCCCAGTAGTACTTCAGTTGCCTCCTATCCACAAGATACCCCTTGTAGTTGGTACATAGGGCAACAGCAAAGTACTCCCAGAACTCTGAAAATTTAATAACATCATTAATAACAGAATGGATAAACTTAGATATGTGCTGAAGGCACTTTTAAGAAAACCAACAATCTCCCAGGTCAAAACAGGAAAAGAGGTCTTTCTCCATAGAAGAGGAACTCTTGAGGATGTGGCTCATATATAACCTTGGATGTTCAGCACCTGGTATGATGCCCAGCAGGGAGTGGGCACTTTGAAATGTTTTTTTTTGATTGAATTAAATAGATGACATTAACATATCCAAAGAAAGGCTGTGTCAGCAGAAATGGAATGGATGGTCAGCACTGAACACTGA